TGAGGCTGAGAGGCTGTGAGCTCTCAGCCAGAGCTTTTGGGACCTTTCTCCTGGAATTTCTGTTTCTGTATCACTGGATGTTATTGAGAAAAGAAGCTTTTCTACGGGATGAGCTAGTCTACGTCCTATAGCTTAGCTACCTTGTGTGAGACTGCCCAAAATATGGCTCCTTTCCCTCCCAGAGCCCAGAACAAGGGGTGGAATCAAAGTTTAATTAAGATGGACAGGAGGCCTGCCCTATGACTGCAAACAGATAACAGAAAGAAAATAAAGTTGGAGCTCCTGGTACAGCTGTACCAGCACAGAATGCAAATGACTCCATCTTCAGTCTTAGAGATTCCTTGGTCTGACCACTACATCCTGAACACCCAAATAGAGATCCCGCCATCACAGCGTCCAGAGACTGAACAAATTTTCGCGCGGCCAAGGAAGCTGATGGACCCTACTAGACTTTTGAGTGCCCTCAAAGAACTGGATTACACCGCTGATTCTCTACGTGAACAAGTGGAAAACTGTCATCCCTTTCTAAAGATCAAAAACGTTCTGGAGATTCCCATTTTCCAAAACCTTCCTCCCAATTTTGGGAATTTCCCAGAAAACAGAATGGGGGGACAACCCAAAACAGAACCGAAAACTGTACAGTTTGGGGACACACTGCTACCATTTCACTTGACACAATGGTTCACTGATTTGTGTTCAAAGGCAGAGATCAGGAGTGTGTTTTTCTACACAACACAACCAGAATACTGAGGGAGCCCCAAACAAAATCAAACAATGTGCTGCCTATCCCTCAAGACTTCAGCCTTCAGAAGTGTGTGCTTTAGCTCGCCGCCGCCTCTGTGGCAAGAAGGAAACTCAACCCAAAACACATGGTTTCATCACCGCAAAGCCAGGCTCCCTTGAGTCACAAAGAGGCTGTGAACCAAAGTGTAGAAGCATTTCCTCTGTTTCCCTTCTGAGGTGGAAGCTCCAACCAAGCAAGGCTTTCCTCCTTGAGTTACTTAAAGCAACAGGGTTTACCTTGCTCTCCAAACCCACCCAAAAGCCTTTTCAAATGAACAGAAACAGCATTATGAATCTGAAGGGTCTGCTCCATGCCAGATCCCTCGCCCTCAAAGTCTTGACAATGTGGGTGTTTACAAATTTCAGTCCCACTTTGCCAGACACTCTTGCAGCCCCTTCCTTCGCCCTGTGCAGAATAAGCAATGCTTAATTTGGAGGTTATGTTACTACCACTAACCTTGATGTTCCACCGGCACAATCAGGCCCGTAGCGAGGGGGGGGTTTAGGGGTTCACCCCCCCCCCGAAATGTTTCAGATTTTTTTAAAAAACCTGGTTTACTCATGAATTTTAACTGGTTAACCAAATCCCCATGCTAAGTCTATGAGATGCAAAAAATTAAGAGTTCCTCCAGAACTGCAAGCACGATCTCAAGCAAATATTAGCAATTTATTCACACTGTCATTACTTGCAGCAATAGCCGATGTAGTTGTTCTGGTACAGCTTACCAGGAGCTCCAACTTTATTTGCTTTGTATTAAATGTTTGCTTGCAGTCCTAGGTTTCAGGGACTCTGCATATAGGTGGCTTCTTTGGTTGCAGTCACCTGTCCATCATTGTTAAGTTTTGGTCCCGCCCCTTGCTCAGGGCAATTGGGAAGGGAAGGGAGCCATTTTTAATTAGTTTCAGCAAGGTAAGCTTATGTATAGGATGTGTGCAAGCTTCCCCTGTGCAAAAGCTTCAACCCTTAAGACCTTCCAGGGGAGAAAGGTCTTAAGAGTCTCCAAAGAATTTCCAGGAAAACAGCCCTAAAGACCAAAGAACTCCAGCTGGAGAACATCTACTGCCTTGCTGGTAGGTCCACTCGGCATTCGAGACGCAGTTCGACCCGGTAGCGGAGCCCACATCAGTAAGGGTTAGATTACAGTCAGCCTGGGAGAAGTTAAAAAGGGGATTTTCCTTTAAAGAAGTTATTGAAGACAGTTGCCTGTCCTTCGTAGGCAAGATTAGGAATTCACCAGTTGCCTAAAAGCTTGGAATCATTTGCTTAAATTTACTGAAGACAAGAGAAGTTTCTGTTTGATTGTTCATTAATAAAAGACTTCGTTGTACTTCTCAAGCCATCAAAAGACTGTTTGTGGTGGAAATCTCAGAGAACTTCTCTTTAGGCCCCCTGGCTTCCCGCTGGGCAAAGGGTGCACATCCTGTTCTAAAGACAATTTTTTACAGGCCCAGCGCGCGACAGAACAGTAGTGAAGCAACCAAGTTGGGGGAGGGATGTTGAATGCTCTCATTAAGGAGGCTAGACTTGGTGGAGGTGGTTGACAAGGGCGGAGCCGCAGACCACCC